GAAAAATTAGGCTAACTTTTCATAAATAGTAAAAATTTAAAAAAGTTAAAGACAGTGATTTTTAAGCCATTTCCCCCATGAAGTAGAAAATTAAACAAAATGAAATAAAACTCAAACAACTCAAACTTTCTCTTTCTTCCTCCTTTCTTAGCTTGAAAATGTTGGCAGAATTACTCAGGGGAATGAGAGGGAAAAAGGCAAAATATTATAGTGCTTTAAAGATGGACAGATTTATTGCAGGGGGAGCTTTTGTGGATCAAAATCCACTTCCTTTTCCAGTCCACAAAAGCTCATACTATAAACTGTTAGTCTTTAAAATGCCACAATATCCTGCTTTCCCCCTCTCTCTTCACCCCTTACCCTTTAATTTTGCCAGCCTGCTGAGACAGACTAACAGGGCTGCTTCTTTGGAAATAGCTTGAGTACAGATTGCTTAATGTGGTATGAAATGAAAAACTGGGGTTTAGCTCATTTGTATCTCAATATATAATCTTAAATTAAGGTAGTCACTGGTTTCACATTGCAGCAGATACTTGTCCAGTGGACTAAATCACATTTGATTTAGAACAATTAACAAACTACTCAGCGGCACAGGCCTAGAGAATTCTGCCCACCCCTTCCAGAATGTGCAAGTCAGTTTTCAAGCTAGATAATTCACTGCACATAGGAAGGTAGCTATATAGTTATGGATCTATTAGGACAGGGCTTGGCTCATAAGGACTACAAACCAAGGCGTTTTTTGGGGACCCAGTGAATAAGACTTTGAAATGAAATATATGGAGTCTGTATGTGGGTGATCCATTGTTTCTTTTAGAGGTGTTTTTCTGTCATTCAGTTAAAAAAACACCTTGCAGAACAATCTTAAGTATGTCTGTTTGGTGAGTTCCCCGGACATATGTCCTATTGGATCATACTTGTGAGTAAAGATGTATAAGTTTGCACAGTCAGTCTGCTAAATAAGTTTATTTAGTTTTATTTATTTAAGTTTAACAGGCCAATTCTATATGAGTTCACTTGGACTTGTTCCCACATTAGTGCATGTTTAAAACAATGAACACCGTTTCTTAATGTGCAGGCTGGCTATGCCATTAGGCAGTGAGGTGAATGCCTTGCGTGGGAGATTCTGAGTGCAAGGAGTGGTGGCAAGATGTTGGATTACTGTATGTAGGGTGTTCATGCATTCTTTTATAAGAGGACAGTCCTCTTTTATTGGAAAATGTCTTCCATTTGAATAGCTGTCCAGTCCAGGTATGGTTTAAAGTTAAGGATCAGGGACTATGAATTTGCCTACCCACAAAGAATCAACAAGACAGCAGACAGCAGCAAGCACACAGGTCAACCTTCCTTATGCAGATGCCTTAACTTAAAAGTTTCCTGGCAAAAATTTGATGTAGCTCTACCTGAACAGCTTGACCTATAAAAATAAAAGGAACAATTTTTAAAATAAATGTTTAGGTAAGATCTATTCAATAGAGGCTTCCTTTCTGAATTTGAATTTTTTCCCCCTTAAAGAGGAAACTCATACAGAACCTGAAGATTGAAAGGAATACATTTCTCTGGTAATTTATATGCTTGAGGCAAACTGATTCTATCAAGGGAGTCATGGCCTTTAGTTTGCAACAGCTGAGCAGGGCTCTTAGTGATATGTCTTTTTTGGAGGTCAGGAGGGATTCCTGTTTACTTTTATGGCCCAAAGAGGTGGAGAAAAGATGCAGTTTAAACAGAAAACTATATTTGAAGCTGTATGTATCCCTAAAAGGAAGAAAAATTATATCTCAGATCAACTCCTTCTCCTCATTCAAAGCCTGGTCATGTTGATGTATCATTCTTGTACCTTAACTTTCATTCTAAAGAAATGCAAGAGGTAAGCTTTAATTTCCTAAACAGATAACCCCCCAAAACTGTCAAAACAAAAAAAACACCTTTCTCTCCTTGCGAATGACTAAGTCCATTGAAGACAGTGAGATTTCCTTCCCTCAAATGCAGATCAATTGGACTGAAATGATGAATGCTGTTCATAGGTCAATACTGCAAATCAGCATTTTGAAAAAATATATATACATTTATGCATTTTATATACCACCAATCTAGCAAATCACCAGTCTGGGCAGTATATATATATATATATATAAAAGAAACATGAATTATAAAATTGCTCTCAAATACCAAACTATTGTAAAAATAAACACACAAACCAAGATGGCAACAAATAGAAATTTCAGAACACAAAGTGCAATATTCCTCTTCTTCTTCCACTGTCCCAATTAATTGGGGAGAACCTCTCTAAAGTCTTCCTTGAACAGCTCTGTTTTGGGGAGCTTTCCAAAGACATGGAGGGAGGAGGCCTGCTGTAACTTCTGCAAGAGAGAATTTCCCAGTGGGCACCACTGTTGAGAAAACCTGGTTTCCAGTTGATGTTTCCAGGGCTTCTCAAGGAGTCAACCCTCAGGTGTGAGGTCTGTGAAGTCCCAAACCATTTCGGGATTTATATATTAGATCTAGAATCTTGAACCTGGCATGGAAGTGGACTGGTAATCAATGCAGGCAAACCAGAGCTGGGGTGATATGATTGAATTTCCCCACTCCGGTATATGATACTATATCAAAGCCAAAATCTACAGTAACTTTTGGTGGTGAACTTGCTACAAGTTATGAAGTCAGTGTAGACATCATCTGCTGCACACTACATTGCATAAATTGGTACATAACAAATAGTGCTGATACTGATTGGTATTTGCTGCAAAAGTTATATCATCCATGATGTGTTGGCAATAGGATTTTGGTCTTATGCTTCATTTCATCAATTTAGTGCCAGTGGCAATGTGCTATATAGGAAGTGGGGTGACAGTAATATTTCTTGAGGTACCAATTGAAGTACAAGCAGGGTGAATCCATATGTCTATATTCTATATGAAGAGGTGATGTTAATCAGTGGTCTGATTCTCTAGGTTGGGGGCCCAATTTCAACCCCAACTTTGTTGCTTTAATGCAAAAAAAAAAAGTTTATTTTAGAAATGGCCCTGCTTTTTAAAATGTAGGAAAATCTAGACATGTATGATGGGAAAAGAATGTCTGTCATTAGTGAACAACTTAACTACTTTTTAAAAGCCACCATGTACTATTTTCTGCCAGAATTGGTTCTCCAAGGAAACTACACCCACTCACAAAATGGATTTACTTATCATTTAAAGCTCTTTCTTAAAGAGGCAGCCCCTGCATACCACATAGTGTTAATCAAAAGCCTGCACCTCCCTGGAGAGTAGTCCATGTGCTGCTCAAAGCTTCTCCTTGAACACATTCCAGGTTCAAGCAAGTTCCACTAGGTCCACCCAAATCTAGTCCCAATGAAGAGAGCAGCTTAGAAAACTCCAGTTTTCACTCCTATATTATCCCTTTGGGTAAAATGCACAAGTAGAGACTTCAGATTTTCAGAAAATGACAGGACTAAGAGGCAAATTGTGGATAATGTCCAAATGAAGAAGGCTGTTTATATATATACATATATATATACATACACACACACACATACGCACATGTGCACAAGATAATCTGAGGAGATAGAGGACATGGTTCTGATACTTATAATACTTGTGTGGAGAAGGTATAATGCAAGTATATAAGTAGCTTGCATTAAAAGTTGCTTCTGTCAGAATTTCCTCTTCTAAGCAGCTAACAGACTACAAGCATATTGTCCTCTTTTTCATCTGGTTATCCTACCTGCTCTGTAATATAAATTTCCACGAGGGAGATAAAATTTGTTACTTTGAGGTAGATGACTACTGTAAATGGTGGCTAGTGCCATTATCTGATCTAGTAGAAAGCTAGTTATTTCATGAAAGCTGATCAAGAGAAAAGGTAACAGAGCAGGCTCAACATAAAGGTCATTAGCTAATGACCAGAGAAGGGTGGTGGGAGACCAACTGCACGCCAGCAACTCCAGCAATTGAAAACAGCCTGTACTGAACTCTATGTCCTGGCCCAAAGCATACAACTCCAATAACTGTGTACAAAATTGCAGTCCTAAAACAGTTTACATTTGGCCTGTAAATCTTTCACTAAAGATCCTCTGGGGAAATTACAGATAAAGATTAGACATTGTTTGAAAGCAAACAGTCACCTGCTATTGCACAGTTTCTGAGTGCTCCAAAAAGGCAATGGGACAGGACAATTTTAACACCGTGATTGCAATGTGTTCAACAGATATAAAGCAAATGTTTGTTAGCGCTGTAAGTGTATCATGTTAGCTGACATCTTTGTGCATTATAGCTACATTTTACAAACTCTGGGAATATGCAGAGGTGTGTTCAAAAACAGGTGCAGCTCATGAAAGCATTGTTTGGTTTTGCACATAACATACTAGAAACAGAACACCGCCAGGTACGTCTATTGGCACTTATTTGTAAGTGAGCTCTGAGGCTTTGGCATCTTCATGACATTGAAGAGTCGAATCCTCCTCTAGCCTCAAGATATAAGAGAGGTCCATGTAAGCAGGACTTGTTGAATCCAGCTGTCAAGAGGCCCAAAAAACGATCCCAGGCGAAAGGAAAACAAACACACACAGGCGGGCACGCAAGTCAGCCAGACAAAGCTTTTGTTGTTTTTCCTCTTGCTTTGTTTCAAATATTGCTTCAGTGTGTCAAAGCCCTTGCAACACATTTCTGGGAAAGCTCCCAGCTCTGGCTTTTTTTCTTTTTCTTTTCTTCAGAAGTTCAGGAACTTGCTTTCCCCTCTGGTGGAAAAGATGACCAGCCCTTTCGTTGCTCCCATGTGGAAAAAAGGAAGGCTCTCTTTGCCTCGCTCCCCATTCCAGCAAACCCCGGTTTCTCTCCCTCCCTCCCGCTCGCT